CTAGGAGAGCTGGACAGGGCCATACAAAGTCCTTTACCCATCAGCATGACCGGTATCTGCTCCTTTGTGCAAGGAGGAATAGGATGAGCACTGCCAGAGTTCTACAAAATGACCTCCAGCAGGCCACTGGTGTGAATGTCTCTGAGCAAACAATCAGAAACAAACTTCATGAGGGTGGCCTGAGGGCCCCACGTCCACTAGTGGGCCCTGTGCTCACTGCCCGGCACCATAGAGCTCAATTGGCATTTGCCATTGAACACCGGAATTGGCAGGTCCACCACTGGTATCCTGTGCTTTTCACAGATGAGAGCAGGTTCACTCTGAGCACATGTGACAGACGTGAAAGGGTCTGGAGAAGCTGTGGAGAACGTTCTGCTGCCTGTAACATGGTTCAGCATGACCGTTTTGGTGGTGGGTCAGTGATGGTCTGGGGAGGCATATCCATGGAGGGATGCACAGACCTCTGCAGGCTAGACAATGGCACCCTGACTGCCATTAGGTATCGGGATGAAATCTTGGACCCATTGTCAGACCCTACGCTGGTTCAGTGGGTCCTGGGTTCCTCCTGGTGCATGACAATGCCTGGCCTCATGTGATGAGAGTACGCAGGCAGTTCTTGGAGGATAAAGGAATTGATACCATTAAATGGCCCCCACACTCGCCTGACCCAAATCCAATAGAACACCTCTGGGATATCATGTTTTGGTCCATCAGACGCTGCCAGGTTGCACCTCAGACTGTCCAGGAGCTCAGTGATGCCCTGGTCCAGATCTGGGAGGAAATGTCCCAGGACACCATCCGTGGTCTCATTATGAGCATGCCCTGACTTTGTCAGGCATGCATACAAGCACGTGGGGTCCATACAAACTACTAAGGACCATTCTGAATTGCTGCAATGAAATTTCCGCAAAATGGACTCGCCTGCTGCATCATTTTTTCACTTTGATTTTCGGGGTGTCTTTGAATTCTGTCCTCTGTAGGTCGATCATTTTCATTTCCATCAAACGATGGGGCATCCTTACATTCCTAACACATTACCCCGTCCATGTCAGTACAGAGATCCAGCAGGAGATGTGTCCCCATTGAGATCTGATGGGTTTTCAAAGTGTTCCTTTCATTTTTTTGAGCCGTGTATAACAATTCAGAGCTTAGACTGACTAAAGCCTAGCTGCAACATGAAATTTGAGCTAGGGACATTCATCCATAGGGCAGGGTCCCTACACATCTATTAGCAGGCCTTTGTTCAGCTGGAATGCAGTTCCGGCAGCACAAGCACTGAATGTATGTAATAAGTGGTGCTGGGGTGTGTTGAAAGGTCTATTGATGCTGGCTGCTGGGGGATCTAATGTCACTGGATGTCACTCTTTTTGCATGGGAATCTATAGTTGCTGGGGACGAGGGGGGGCTTATGTTGATGGGAGGGATCTACTGTTGAGGGAGAGGTCTATTGTTATTGGCTGCTGAAGGGTCTATTGTTATTGGCTACTGGGAGATCTGTTGTTGCTGCCGGTGGTCTGTTGTTGCTGTTGTGTTATTTTGTTGCGGGGGGGGGGGCGGTCCATTGATGCTGGGAGAGTCTATTGTTGCTGGGGGATCTATTGTTTACTTGGTGCAGTGGAACTATTTTACTGCTTTTCTTGTTATCATTAACAAATTCCATACAAATGACTTAACACCACAAAATGATACTTGATTCTGTATTCTCTAAAAGGGGCAGTACTGGGAGGTGGAACCAAGTGATGATATTTGGAGGTGGGTAGGGAGCAGAGACAGGGGCTGACTCAGAAGGGTGAGTTCAGGCACCTATTCTCTGAGATTAGTATACTATGCCAGAATGGTCAAGCCGTTGGGTAGTTATAGTACTGGCCTCTATAAAGAGGCACACAGCAGTGGGAATGTGATATATGTTCTCAGAGGAATCCATGTTTAAAACAATGCCAGCACTAAAACACATATTTGACATACATCCCTAAAGCATGTAGAAGTCACAATCCCCAGGGTCGTTCTAATTTTAATGATAGTTTCTTCTTATCTTGGATCCAGGCCAAGATAAACCAAAGGCAAACCATTTTATTAGTGGTTATGCTACATTGCCTTGGAATGTGACCTTTTACTTTCTATTTAAAGGCTTAGAAACAGACTGATCCCTAGCACCCAAATACATATTATCTACCACTACCTAAAGGGTCTGTCTGCTCAAAGCTGGTTTTTCAATCATGGGTGGACAGTGGTTGGCTGAATGTTCCACTGAATTTTTTACTATTTCTTGGGCACTCAATCAGTGAAATGTCCATGCCAAACTACCCGTCCATATAGCAGAGCATAAGGGTACACACAGATATAAGACAACAGTCACATGATCTAGTTATCCATATAGGTGGCCTCAGATGTGCCAGGCAGATGTTCTTCATTGAAAATAGAGAACTGGACCTATTAAAAAATATTCTGTTAGATCCCTGGTTCCCTGCTGGACACTGGTGTTCCATGCAATGGCATCTACACTGCTGTCCTTTGGGCAGTTGGGAGGGTGGGTGCATCAGGCATCATGCACTTTCTGAAGTGTCCAATGTTGAATATTCATCAAGACACTGTAGTTCTTTAAGAGAACAAAGATCAGTAGTGCGGATAAATAGACAGGCAAAATTATCCTTTGCAGTGAGGGTGTGCCCCACTGCAAGGGTCAACTGCTCATTTAGTGTAGGGAAGAGGAGCACTTTAACTTACCTGATCCTCCAGTCCACCAGTAAAACGGCGCTCCCCCATGCTCCAGTGGTAGACTGTCCCTCGGCATCATTATGTCTAGTGCAGGGCTATGGACTATGTAATGGTCTTGATGATATCAGGACCTTAGACCGCTGGAGCATGGGGGTGAAGACTCTGTGGGGACCAGTTTAGCAGCACAGAGGAGTGCAGGATTGTGTAAGTATGTCCCCTAGACCTAATCAAGCAATTAACCTTTTGCAGTGCACAGCTACAGTGCAAGGGATACTTTTTAAGTTTCCCGGAGTCTGGCTTTAACACTTTCCTTAAAGTGGAGATCCACTCAAAAGTAGAATCTCTGCTTATCTGCCTCCCCCCCCCCCCCATGTTGGTACATTTGTCACCTTTTGGGTGGGGGGGAGCGGGTACCTTGTTTTAACACCCACTTCCAGCTCAGTTTACTGCGGTAAACTGAGAAGGAAGTTTGCTCCCCCCCTCCATCCCCCCGCAGCCCCCTGGGACATTTCTCCGGTCCCAGAGGACTGCGGCCCATTGACAAAGCGCAGCACGTAGGAAACCGGCTGTGAAGATGCAAAGCTTCACTGCCAGTTTCCCTTAGTCAAGATGGCGGAGCCAGCACTCGACAGCCGATTGAAGAATCAGCTTGGGTTGAGGACACCGCTGGATCCCTGGACAGGTAAGTGTCCTAATATTAAAATTCTGCAGCTACAGTATTTGTAGCTGCTAACTTTTAATTTTTGGGAGGGGGAGGCCAGAACATGGTCCAATGCAATGCCATAACACATTATATATGTGCATTGCATTCAATCAAATGGGATGCCAGCGCTCCACAATGGACCTTAAATCGCATCTGCGCCATTATTGCCGACACAGCACACTACCATGAGTTGTGATGAGCTGCAATGAAGGTGTGTTGGACATGCATTCCTTTAGGGCGTGGATGAGCTAAGGAAGAACTCAACCTGAAACTACGGGTAACTGTCACGTGATAGCAGGCCATTGGTCCAGCCGCCACAGTCATGTAAATCTCCGCCCAGCAGTCACATGTATCAAATTGCAGGAATGCTGGCGACATCATTGACCTAATATGGCCACATGGCAGATGCAATTTTAGGTCCATTGTGGAGCATTGGCAGCTCACTTAATTAAATAGGCATCCTTAACCCCGAAATGTTGGGGTATAAAAATACTTTATTAAGCAATGTAATTTTGCAATGCCATGCACCTTTCTTTTGCAACTTAATGCATATGTGCTGGTCACATAGTGGGATCCTATTGTATGAGAAAGCAGCGTATACTCATGACAGCAATATAAGAGTGACAGGTCTTCTGAGACAGCAGGGAAACAATCACACTGGCAGAAGAGCAATGTGCAGTCAGCATTCTAGCAAACAAGGGATTTATCCCAATTAAAACCAGATTGCATGTAAAACATCAGGCTTCAGGGATAGGTCCATCCTCCCACACAGTCCACTCCTTTGGCAGATGCTAGACCTTGTTTCCTCTGAATTCTCTCAGTAAGTGATTGCAGTTGCTATCAGCTGGTATTTTAAATGCATAACTCCACTATTGGCCGTTAACTCTTTCAGGACTAAAAAATATTATTTGCATCCGAAGTGTTACTAAACCCAGGACCAGGGGCAGACTGACAACTCATGGGGCCCCCGGGCAATAGTGGATCATGCGGCCCCTGTGTCCTTGCCCAAACTCAAAAAAGCCTATGAAAAAGGTACCAGGGGCATCTCATGGGGCCCCCTACTGGCCCCAGGCCCTCAGGCAGTGCCTGAGTTTCCAAATGGTCAGTCCACCCCTGCCCAGGACCCTGCATTTTCTATATCTGGTCTCCCTGGACCCTGAATTTACTATATCTGGTCTCCCCGACCCTGCATTCACTATATCTGCTCTCCCTGGACCCTGCATTTTCTATATCTGGTCTCCCTGGACCCTGAATTTACTATATCTGATCTCCCCGTACCCTGCATCCACTATATCCGCTCTCCCCGGACCCTGCATCCACTATATCCGCTCTCCCTGGACCCTGCATTCACTATATCCGGTCTCCCCGGACCTTGCATTCACTATATCTGGTCACCACGGACCCTGAATTCTCTATATCAGGTCTCCCAGGACCCTGCATTCACTATATCTGCTCTCCCCAGACCCTGCCTTCACTATATCCAGTTTCCCTGGACCCTGCATCCACTATATCCGCTCTCCCTGGACCCTGCATTCACTATATCTGGTCTCCCTGGACCCTGCATTCACTATATCCGGTCTCCCCGGACCCTGCATTCACTATATCTGCTCTCCCCGGACCCCGCATTCACTATATCTGGTCTCCCTGGACCCTGCATTCACTATATCCGGTCTCCCTGGACCCTGCATTCACTATATCCGGTCTCCCTGGACCCTGCATTCACTATATCCGGTCTCCCTGGACCCTGTATTCACTATATCCGGTCTCTCCCCGGACCCTGCATTCACTATATCTGGTCTCCCTGGACCCTGCATTCACTATATCCGGTCTCCCCGGACCCTGCATTCACTATATCTGGTCTCCCCGGACCCTGCATTCACTATATCTGGTTTCCCCGGACCCTGCATCCACTATATCCGGTCTCTCCCGGACCCTGCATTCACTATATCTGGTCTCCCTGGACCCTGCATTCACTATATCTGGTCTCCCCGGACCCTGCATTCTCCATATCTGGTCTCCCCTGACCCTGCATTCACTATATCCGCTCTCCCCGGACCCTGCATTCACTATATCTGGTCTCCCCGGACCCTGCATTCACTATATCCGCTCTCCCCGGACCTGCATTCACTATATCTGGTCTCCCCAGACCCTGCATCCACTATATCCGGCCTCCCCGGACCCTGCATTCACTATATCTGGTCTCCCTGGACCCTGCATTCACTATATCCGGTCTCCCCAGACCCTGCATTCACTATATCCGCTCTCCCCGGACCCTGCATTCACTATATCTGGTCTCCCCGGACCCTGCATTCACTATATCCGCTCTCCCCGGACCCTGCATTCACTATATCTGGTCTCCCCAGACCCTGCATCCACTATATCCGGTCTCCCCGGACCCTGCATTCACTATATCTGGTCTCCCCCCGGACCCTGCATTCACTATATCTGGTCTCCCTGGACCCTGCATTCACTATATCTGGTCTCCCAGGACCCTGCATTCTCCATATCTGGTCTCCCCAGACCCTGCATTCACTATATCTGGTCTCCCCAGACCCTGCATTCACAATATCTGGTCTCCCCGGACCCTGCATTCACTATATCTGGTCTCCCCAGACCCTGCATTCACTATATCTGGTCTCCCACAGTACACGCAACATGGAAATGCAAACATTTTAGTAAATATAAACTGCTAAATACCAGTTATTATCAGCAGTTAGAGCAGTTTTGCGAATTCAGCAGAGCACTGGTTAAAGATTGTGGGAGTTTTCTTTCTGCTCTAGGAGAATGTAGAGCTCCTGAGCTCTGTGTGGACAGTGCTGATTGGCCCTGTACTGATCACATGCATTCTCCCAAGAAAAAAAAAAATCTCTCTAGCAATACACACAAAACTGAGCATGTGCATGTGACTACGGGTTCAGTCTGTCTTATCAGGTGGACCTTTCAACAAGTGGAGGGGCAGAGAAAACAGGACCAAACAGTCCTTTTACACAATGCAGAAGATTACCCCCTTAGGTTCCACAGTGAGTATAACAAGCATGCTACACTGCATCTACAGACTGATTGTACTGTTGTGGGTTTACTAACATTTTAATATATGGAAGTCAGTTTACCTGCCAGAGGATTTGTATTTCTGTCCATCCTATATTGAGTTGTACAGACCCCATGCAGCACAGCCCGCTCTGGTCTTGTCCCTCCCCTTGACTGTGACTGGACAATAAAATAAAAAAGCAGCAGACTAATGAGCTCATCTTCCTGTCACTCTGCTGTCTCCTCCTGTCAGTATCATCCTTGTCAGCACATGAGCACTGCAGCACAATGAATTGGCTCCTTGTGCTGCTTCTTTCTTTCTCAGGTTAAGCCCTGCTGTATGAGGCTGATACCAAGCCAGATTCAGGTACTTTTGCTGCTTGTATTTAAAAACAATTGCAGTTAATGGTATATTAATTAACACTGAGTTGCATTAATGTATGTCTTTTATGTCCACCTGTGGTACAGCTTTGAAGCCCAGTTCCAGACAAAATCTATTTTTTTTTGCCCATCCCTGTCTCCCACCCGCCTCTTACCCCTTCTTCCAGAAGTTAAATGGGTTCTAAAGGCTTTCTCTGCATTAAGGTAAATCCTTCTATGCTGAGTGACCCCCTCAGCCCCTCCTAAATACTTTCTTAAGCCTGATCTCGATCCAATGCTGCGCTCAAGAACAGCAGCTCTCTCTCTTCTCACAAGGCATGGAGGCAGCAGCGGAAGCCATTGACTCCTGTTGCTGTCAATCACATCCTGTGACGAGGGGACAGGGGGAAGGGCCGAGCCTCGATTTCTGTGTCTATGGACGCAGGCAGCGTTGCTCAGGATCAAGCCTGCAGGAGTGCCCCTATAGCAAGCGGCTTGCTCTGGAGGCATTTGCCGAAGAGGAGAAGCCAGGAGGGGGACCCTAGAAGAACAGGATCTGGGCTGCTCTGTGCAAAGGCATTGCACAGAGCAGGTATATATGACATGTTTAATATTTTTTATAAATAAAAGTTTAGAATCACTTTAAGATTTCTTTATCTGGTGAAATCAGTTATATTCACTTGAGCCTCTTATCCAGCTCCCTTGCTGATAACGTTTCTGCCTGCGGGGACTGCTAGTTCAGCACCACATATTATTTCTCACCACTTGGTCCCCTTCAGTCCGCTCGGTCTGACGTCAATGTCCTTCTGGATCCTGAGAGTACCCCTCCGATGGCCAGCCAATGGGAATTTTCCTTGTCATGTGGGCATGTTTACATCATCACCTCTGCCTCACAGAGATGTGCACCGAGCCGGACTCCAACTGTGCCTGAGCCCATACACCCTGCAGGTAATGGAAGTAGTAGTAATCCCTTGGCTGTCTTTTTTAAATTAACCCATTAAGCAGTAAAAATTAACATACCCCCATAACATATTTGATAAAATTCAGAGCTATCAGTGGACAGTGCAGTCTCTAGCCAGTCTGTCAGCTTGGAGAAGGGAGGGACAGGGGAGTATCTTGCCAAACTTGGCTGTTGGGCTGTGTGTTTCTATTGATGCACACAGTGTAGGGAGACACAGCTCTAGACCCTGCATGCAAGGGTGGCTCCATAGGATGCTGCAAGAGAAAGCAGCCACCCCAAAACAGGAATCCTGGGGCAGCGGTCATGGCACCAGCTTAAGCTGGAACATAGGCGAGCATTAAAAGAAATAGAAGATGCATATATGCCTAAACCTGAGGGCTTAATAGCACGTTAGCTTCCTGTGAAGACCAGAAGTTCAGGGAAGCGTCCTTTCTTTCGCAGCACTCTATGGAGCCACCCGTGCATGCAGGGGCTAGAGCTGAGACTCTATACACTGGGGTAGATTTACTAATAACCCCCACTGTGTGCATCAATAAAACTCACAGCTCCAAAGTTTAGGATGGCAAAGCACTTAAATACTCTTCCCTTCTTCTCCCCCCTTCTACAGACTGGCTGGGGACTGCACTGGCCACTGTTAGTGAAGACCAGACGTTCAGGGAAGCAGCACTAAGAGAGCAGAAGCCAGAAGTTGGGCCAAGAATTAGTTTGCTGAGAGAAGTTTACTTTATTGTGCTCAATGTGTTAACCTCAAAAGCACATTGAAGATTTATTATTACTTTAATTAAAGTGGTTCTGAAGGCTCAAGGTTTGTTTACCTTCATGCATTCTATGCATGAAGGTAAAAAAACTTTCTCTTTTCAGCATCTCCCCAAGCCCCCCATAATACTCACCTAAGCCCCCTCTTGATCCAGCAATGTGCACTGGAGTCTCGTTTATCCCGGGACTCCCTCTTCTCATTGGCTGACACAGAAGCAGAAGCCATTGGCTTCCACTACTGTCAATCACAGCCAGTGTGCCAATGAGAAGAGAGAGAGGGTGGCTGTCTGTGAATGTACACAAGCTGCTTGCTGTGGGGGCACCTGACAGGAAGGAGGGGCCAGGAGAGCCTGTGGGGGACCCGGGAAGAGGAGGATTGGGGCTGCTCTGTGCAAAACCACAGTATATACAGTGAAGGAAATAAGTATTTGATAAAAATCTGCTGATTTTGAATGTTTGCCCACTCACAAAGAAATGATCGGTCTAAAAATCAAATGGTAGCTGAATTGTAGCACAGAGACAGAATAGCAACAAAAAATTAAAAAGATATGCATGTCTAACAAATTATGCACTGATTTACATGTTCATAAGTATTTGATTCCCTTCACAAAACATGACTTAGTACTTGGTGGCAAATCCCTTGTTGGCAATCACAGAGGTCAGACATTTCCTGTAGTTGGCCACCAGGTTTGTACACATCTCAGGAGGGATTTTGGCCCACTCCTCTTGGCAGATCCTCTCCAAGTCATTAAAGTTTGGTGGCTGACGTTTGGCAACTCGAACTTTCAGCTCTCTCCACAGATTTTCAATTGGATTAAGGTCTGGAGACTGGCTAGGTCACTTCCAGACCTTAATGTGCTTCTTCTTGAGCCACTCCTTTGTTGCCTTGGCCGTGTGTTTTGGGTCGTTGTCATGCTGCAACACCCATCCACGACCCATTTTCAATGCCCTCATTGAGGGAAGAAGGTTCTCGCCCAAGATTTGATGGTACATTGCCCCGTTCATTGTCGCTTTGATGCGGTGCAGTTGTCCTGTCCCCTTAGCAGAAAAACACCCCCAAAGCAGAATGTTTCCACCACCATATTTGACAGTTGGGATGGTGTTCTTGGGGTCATAGGCAGCATTCCTCCTCCTCCAAACATGGGGAGTTGAGTTGATGCCAAAAAGCTCGATTTTGGTCTCATCTGACCACAACACTTTCAACCAGTCCTCTACATCATTCAGATGTTCAGTGGCAACCTTCAGACGGGCCTGGACATGTGCTTTCTTGAGCAGAGGAACCTTGCGGGCACTGCAGGATTTCAATCCTTGGCGTAGTGTGTTACCAATTGTTTTCTTGGTGACTGTGGTCCTAGCTGCCTGGAGATCATTGACAAGATCCTCACGTGTAGTTCTTGGATGATTCCTCACTGTTCTCATAATCATTGACACTCCACGAGGTGAGATCTTGCATGGTGCACCAGACCTAGGCAGACTGACAGTTGTTTTGTGTTTCTTCCATTTGTGAATGATTGCACCAACTGTTGTCACCTTCTCACCGAGCTGCTTTGCAATAGTTTGGTAGCCCAGTCCAGCCTTCTTCACGTCTACAATCTTGTCCCTGACATCCTTGGACAGCTCTTTGATCTTTGCCATGGTGGAGAGTTTGGAATCTGATTGTTTGATTGCTCCTGTGGACAGGTGTCTTTTATACAGGTAACAAAATGAGATTAGCACCACTCCCTTTAAGAGACTGCTTCTAATCTCAGCTTGTTACCTGTATGAAAGACACCTGGTAGCCAGAAATCCTGCTGAATGATAGGGGATCAAATACGTATTTCCCTCATGAACATGCAAATCAGTGCATCATTTATTAGACATGCATTTGTTTTGAATTTTTTGTTGCTATTCTGTCTCTGTGTTACAATACACCTACCATTCGATTTTTAGACCGATCATTTCTTTGTGAGTGGGCAAACATTCAAAATCAGCAGGGGATCAAATACACATTTCCTTCACTGTACTTTTTTTTATTTTTTCTTAAAAAAAAAAAAGCCTTTAAAATCAGTTTAACTGTAGTGTGTATGCATGGTTAGTGAGAGGGAAAAGACAAGGCATACACACTTCTGCATGTTTGGAACACTTTCGGCGATGTAGGATGCGCCATAATTATACTCCACCCAATACGTTTTATACCTTTTGAAGGCCAAGTG